TGAACTATAAATGTGCTCCATCGCCGAACATAATTTGGCTCGACAACGTGGGATCTTTTGGAGCTTTGTCGATGGGGTCCAATTACATAATTTGAAAGCTATTACACAACACGAACGGAAGAATGAGTAGATAAATACTGCACACCAAGGGACGGCTCAAAGCTTGGCAGAGATTCTTCTCAGGGTATGCTCCGGTGGAAATTTCTTTCAGGCTACCTGATAATTACAGTGGTTTCGAGGCGTATACGAGTATCTGCCAGTCAGGCAGCAATAAAAGTTCTGGACTCGCGTAGGCTAAACTTCAAATTTGTGATGGACTGTCGCCGATCTCTAAAGGAGTTGGCCGAACAGAAGAGACTGTCTCCCACGTGGATCCCTGGTCACAGGGACTTCGAAGCAAACCGTAAGGCGAATGAACTTGCTAGGCAAGGTACGACCAAGCCGGTTCCTCTCGATAAAGAACGCATTGATATTCCGATTCAAGCTGGAATGATACTACAACCTGCCGAAATGGTATAGAGAAAGATCATGAGATATGAACTACTTAAAAAGCAGTGACATGTACAGGGTAAAAGGAATTCTGACAGCCCACTGACTGATAGTACTTCACGAGGAAAGACTAGGGACTCCCCATACAAGATACTGCAAGTAAGATTAGGAGGAGGAAACGATCGCACATCTCTGACGCCACTGTCCTGCTTTGAGCAGGGCTATTGCTATACGGTCTATCGAAGAAAGCCGCCATAAAAGTCACGAATCTAATGAAGTTTATTATAAAATCCAACTGACTGGATAACTGAGCCAACTCCCAAGCTTTTGTCGCGCCACAGTGGGTTTTGGTCAAGCCTAAGTAAACCTGATACCATAGATCGTTAGCCAAACCAAAACCTAATCTAACCTAATGTCAAAAATGCAACATTTTTGACATTTGAATGTATAGTCATTAACTCCTTGTTCCTGTTTGCAGAAAGTTATGACAAGCCTTTTACAGGCTACTCTTCCAGTCAATTCTTCAGCACACAAATTGTTCGCAATAGACAGGAAAGAAAGCTTCTGGCAAGTCTCAAACGATATGTGATCTGGCGTTGTTCTGATGAATACAATTCGTCTCCTATTGGCCAGAGTTGGGAAGTTATGGGAGTCGGAGTACTATAACATAAAGCCCTAATAAAACCGATTTATTTGCATACGAGGTTCTCGGACCGAGAACCGTCAAAAAACGGAGGACTATAAAATGTGATCCCCTTACAATCGATTTGTTCAGATATGAGAGTTTGGGTCCAAGCTAAGAGCTGAGAAAGCATCTAAAAGCTTGAGATTTGGTTTTTCGTAATAAAACGCCAAAAATTTGTTATGACATAGAAAGCTATAAATACTTCGGCATGACCGAAGACAACTTTTTTTTCTTCTTCTTCATATAATAGTTTTTGCCTTCAACTTTTTCTTTTTCGCCCCTTCTCTTTACTTTCATATAATATTTCATTTGTTAAAAATACTTAAGAAGATCTTTTTCCCAATGCCCAACACAATTTACTCGCAAACTCATTCTCTTTATAAAACGATTTAGTTTCTTTATTTTTTCCAACTCAAAATGAGCGTAATGAAAATCAACTTACACAAAGAGTGGGATATTTAATAGAAGAAAACAAGATATCTGCCTGTTCATTCAAATGGAAATTCATCAACATCATCGTCGTTCGTCATCTCATGCAACAGCGTCACTTCTGCGCACTCACTCACTCACTCACCCACCCACCTATACACTCAGTGCCCCACAAAACGGTTAAAAGCGAAAGCGCGAATATGGAAGTAGACTTCAATGTAATAAGTACGAGTCATAATAAAAATATTCATATTTCTTAGTTTCTTCTCAAGGAGTAACTTTTTTGTGAGTAGCTTTATCTTCCATTCACTCACCTTCTTACACTCCTGTGGGGTTGGTTGTTTTGTTTTTGGTTTCACTACTCGACGCGCCCAACTTTTACTGCTGCCATCTCTCTTTAATAGCTGCCTGCACTACTCATCTACACCTTCACCTCTCGCATTCAACAACACAGTGCACTTCAATACTTGACTTGCTCTCCGCTTGCTCTTCTTGCCCTTCGTGCTCATCTCCATCTCTGATATGCAGTATATGGCGAGTGCGTGGGTACTTCACTTTTGCTGGTTGCTCCTTTGAGTTACATTTTGTTCGTCGGCATTATCAAGCGACAATGAAGTCAAGTGGAATTAAGATTTCAATACCCATTCGCTTAGCGAAAGCTATTGAATGAGCTCCGGCTAAGCCTTACGTGCACGTAGTGTACAACAGCAGGCGAACACATTTTCAGTCGTTCGCTTACGCTCAGTCATGCCGTTATGATGTAGCAAACTATTCAAGCACAAGCCATTCACTCCGTTCATTCATTCATTCATTCATTCATTCAATTATTCATTCATGTAGTACAAGCATTTAGCTCTGAGTTTGTATCGCTTTAACACGCCTCTTAAGCGTTGCGCTGAGATTTCTTCGCTCCGACATTTTGCTTTTCTTTGTATTGCAGTATGAATGTGTAACTTACGATTATTGCTATTGTTATTGTTGTTATTGTTAGCAGTTACATTGTTACAGTTGTTGCTTTTAATGCTTATGCATGTTTTGACTTATGGATTATGGCATTCGCTTTGATTTCCCCCATTACCGGCGGCACGGTTGGCAGACAGTCTTATCATTATGTTAAATGTTTACTGAGTCAGCTTTTTTCACTTTTTTTTTTTTTTTGATTATTTATTTATATTTTTACGCGTTACATGAGTGGATGGTCACATCCTCCTCTTCTTCCAGCGAGAAGTGGGTAAAAATCAATGAAAAGTTGGAAAACTTCGACTAAATGCAGATTGTTGATGGCAGTACTCGGCGACTGACTCTCTCTCTCCCCCAGCAAAAAACCGATAAATTTGCGCTCCTTCATTTGACTTCGTAAGGATATATATGTATATATAAATATAATTGGCGCCTTGTAAGCGCTGAAGCGGTTTTCCGCTGAGCTCCTCCTCCAATTAGTGGTTTTACGTCTTGGTGTTTTTCCAACAATTGGAGGGACCAATAACTTATACTAAGCCGCATCCGAGCGGCTGATGGTTTTTTATGAGGGGCTTTTGATTTCATATCAGAAATACACTCGGAGGGATTGACATTCCGTGTAATTAGAAAATTTCTATAACATTTGGATATTGGTCGTACCAGGATTTGAACCTGGCCCTCCGAATAGCAGTACGCCATGCTAACAACTCGGCTACGCGGCCTTATAAGGCATAAATAAGCAAACATAATAATTTCTAGTGACTCCCAGTCGAATGGAAGTCAAAAACTTTCCCCCTTCAGTCTAAATTGTTGGAAATATATGAATAAATTCTGCTGGAAGACGATTTTAGAAACATCAGTAGACATCAGATCTGATTACGGTTTTGCTTGATTTCTACAAAGTTATTGACATTCGCGAGGCACCTTTAAGAAAATAATTTTCTGTATTTTAATTGCAGATTGTGTTCAAAGAGTACTAGAGACAAGTAGGAAGCGACCCCATTTTGACTGCAAATATCCTAGTAGATTTTTAACGAAGGATCAAGTCTGATAAATGAACAAAATCTACCGACTGCTGGTTCCATTGCATAGTTGGATCGGTAACAGACGTGGAGTCTGGATATTTTTGACAGATTTTTGACAGATTTCTCGGTGTTCTTTAAACTAAAAAGATACTAAGAAAATCTCGAAAATCCACGAAAACCCAAAGAACATCGGGTAATTTTGCAAAAGGAAAAACACACGAATTGCTATCGCCCAAGAAATCTTCTCAAAAACGCTGCTAAGTTGCTTTGCTTAAAGCTGAAAAGCACGGACTTCTTTATGCCAAGACCATCCACCTCTTGGCTTATATATCGTGAGAAGCAACTCACTGCTCACTCTACGCAAGACAACGTATTAGCTTATTGCATAAAATATTGGATAATATTCTACCGAAAGGTCTACATCCGGCACGCAGTGACGAAAATATAGCGGCCGTAGCTGAGAGTGTACACGTAAACCTTGTACAGCCGATTCGGCGCAGTTCTCAGCAACTCGGACTGGCGAACACTTTCTACGTCGAGATCTTGAATTGAAAGCATGCAAAATATGTTTGTGCATGCACTGAAGTCGACTGACCCTCTCAAGCGGCAACACGTTGTCTTGTGGGATCATGAAAAGTTTCAAGACGATCCGAAGATTTCGAGCCAAAATTTTTGGGGCTCATTTCTGGCTCATTGGGTATGTAAACAAGCAAATTTTCCGCATTTGGGTAGAGCCATCTGAAAAGATTCAAGAGCTACCATTTTATCCAGAAAAAACAAGGTTTTGGTGTGGTTTGTTGGCCAGTGGAATCATAGGTGCATATTTTTTTAAAATTTATGCCGGTGAGTACGCAACTGTTAATGGATACCGTTACCACGCTCCGATAACCGACTATTTGATGCCTAAAATTGAAGTTCGTGATATTGGCGATATTTGGATTTCCCATGGGGATATGTGAAATCTGAAGTATATGCGGACGATTCCGCTTCGGCCTTGGGGCAAAAAATCACATTCACAAGTTACAAGTCGAAATGTTCTAACGAGTCATCGAAAATTGGACTTTGCGGATGGACCATTTCGGCAGCAGCCGATATTTGAAAAAGATAAAATTTAAAAAATTAATGCCAAAGAATGTCCTTTTGAACATATTCCATTACATTTTAAGTTTTTTGTCTTTTTTTTCTTTAAAGAATTTGGATGACTCTTTATATCACTCTCAACAAGAAAAAATGTTTTCTGAATTTAAGAAGTTCAGTTCCATGTTTAATCACAAATTTGTTTAATTTTGAAAATATTTCATCACTATATTCAAGCTTTATAAATTTTAAAAATTTGTAGAATATGTTTACTGGCTTTATTTCTAAAAAATTATCATACGGAATATATGAAAAATACTTCGAAATTGACTCACCTTGAAACTCCTTACGTGCCGCACTCACCGACGTCACAATGTTCGCCACATGACCCAATACCGTCGCGAACAGCATCAGTCCGAATAGCAATTGTAATATCACAAAGACGTATTCACCTTTCGATCTGGGCTTTGGCAAATCCCCGATCGTCGTTAAAGCTAACGTACACCAATAATAACTTTGTAAATATTGTTTAACTACATCGGCCGATTCGGAATCATGATAGACCCAATTTCTCGAACCGAATCCATTGTTCTTATGTATAATATGATACAGACATCCGTTCCAATGGAATATCACAAGTAGATAGTGTATCAACGCTGTCGAACGAAATAAGTTCGGATAGTTTGTATGTCGTTCGGTACGATCCATAAATGCCCAAAATCTATAGATTTTCACCAAACGAAATGAACGTAATATTGAATTGAATCCGATTGATAGATATAAAAAATCCAATGGCAGCAAACATAGGCAGTCAATGTAAAATGTTGTCGAATTCATATAATGTTGACGTAATTTCGTCGCATCCGTTTGTAATACACCATCCTCTAGATAACCGGTACGAAAATGAAAGAATATATCTATGAGATATAAGAAATCGGAGAAATAATCGAGACAAAACCAAATGGCAATCGTTCGGCGATTGATCTCTTGAAAGGCGAAACGATAGATTATCACCCAGAAATTATAAAGGAACGCCAGCGATACAACCATGGACCAGTAGTAGCATAGACGCCCCGCTGGATCGAACACAAAGTGGAATTTACGCGAGGCAGTGGCGGCACGAAATCGTTGCGAGGCGGTTCGATGTGGTTGCTGCTGATGATGTGACGCGGATGCGGACTGTTGTTGTTGTGTCGATGATAAATGCGATGGATGTGACGATTGATGATGCGCATGCGACATCGACGCCGAATGATGTAATGGATGCGATGAGTGATGCGAATGTGAGGGGCCGCTATGCGGCGGGGCAGTGGTCGTTGAGGTACCGGAACGTGAGCGGGGATATCTGCATGGAAGATGAAAGAAAGGAAACATATGACAACCGTTACGACTTTTGCCTCAATTCTAGCACAATAATACTATTTAACGCTAGTAAAATTCTCTCACCTATCAGTGCCGTTGCAAAAATTCCCACTAAATTGATTACTCCCCGCCAACCCGCCGGCTAATGTGTTGTCTTGTGAACCGCGCGTCGTTCCAGAACGTTGCCATGAATCGAGCAACGGTTGTTCGCCAGACATAGTTTTCAGGCGGCCGCGAGATTTGCGACGTTGTTTGTTGCTGCTGTGCAGTAAATCCATTTCGGAGGCAGTGCTTACAGTGGCCACATGTGGATTGGAGGCACGTGATGCGCATGGTGTGGCGAGGCTGTCGTGTGATGTGAAGAAACCTTGCTGTGAGACGCTCTGACCGAATTTCGGCTGTGGCATGCTAAATTTCGATCCGAGATCTGAAAGTGGAAAAAATAAAATTAGAATTAAGGCAAATTCGAAAAATTCAAAAACCGTTTACGAACTAAAAAATACAATTTGCACAAAAAAACTCTCAACACTAAAAACGGAATCACTTGATATGGAATGATGTGAGAATGACAGGGCAAAAAAAAAAATTTATTTATGTTTATTACAAAATAAAAACAACAAATAATAGAATTAAATAAAATTTGAACAAACAAAAGAACAAAAATAACTAAATTAAATATAACAAAATAATATAGTGCAAAAAAATAAAAAAAATGAAAACGTAAAAAAATAAATTATTTAAAAAAAGAAAAAAATAAAATAAAATAAAATAAAATAAAATATAATAAAATACAATAAAATCAAATAAATAAATTAAAATAAAAAAAAATAAAAAAATAAAATAAAATTAAACAAAATAAATAAAAAAATAAAATAAAAAAAATTAAAATAAGATAAAATGCAATAAAATAAAATATTTTCAAAACTCTACCAAAAACAATAAAAATAACATAAGTCCTTAAGTACAAGCAAAAAATAAAAAATAATAAGAAATAAAAATAAATAAATTAATTTAAAACAAAAATAAATAAAAAACTTTAAAAAATAAAAAAATTAAATAAAATTAAACTAAGAAACAAAATAATTGAAAACCATTGAAACAAAATAAAAAAACTTAAAAGTAAATAAAATAAAACAATTTCAAATTAAAAATCAAATATTTTAAAACTAAAATAAATTAAAATAAAATAAACTGAAAGATAATAACATAATTAAAATAAAATAAAAATAGTTTATATATAATACATAAAAATAAAATATGATTAAAAAATTACATAACAAAATTAACAAAAAAAATTAAGATACCTATAAAAAAAAATAAATTATAAAATATATAATTTAAATAAACTTAAAAAATACAAATTAATTAAAAAATATTTTATAATAATAATAATTAATACATAAAAATAAAATAAAATAGCGAAAAGTAAAAAAAAAACAAATCGAAGTAAAAGAAAATGAAGCAAAGTCAACAAAAAAATTTAAATATAAAATTAAATAAATTAACTTTAAATGAAAAAGATATAAAAGTTAAATAAATTTAAGTAAATTAATTTAATATAAAATAGAAGATTGTATAATAATAAAATAAAAATAGGTAATATATTGTATAATGCATGAACATAAAATTATATACCAAAAAAATAAATAAATAAAAATACAGTAAAATAAAATAATAGAGGAAACGAAGAGGTAAACTGAAATAAAATAACTGAAATAAAAAATAAATAAACAAAAATAAAGAATTAAAAAAAGTTACAAGAATTGAAGTAAATTAAATTAAAAAATAAAATATAAAAAATGAAGTCTAATTAAATGTAAGAAATAAAATTTATTTACATAAAATAAGCAAAATATTTATTAAATCAAACTATCTATAATACAAAACAAATTAAGAAAAAATAAAATAAAAAGAGATAAAATAATTATTAATTATTATAATTAAATAATTTATAGCATTCAAAAAGAAGGAATGAATGTAAATTACGTTGAATAAAATAAAATAAAATATTTATAATTGAAATGAAGTAGAATACACTTAAAGTGGATTGGAGTAAAATATTATGAGCTATAGTTCATTAAAAAATTTAAAATGATTGAAGTCAAATTTAAATTGAAAAAATAAAAGTTAATGAAAAACATTCTATTACATATAAAATTATATTAAATTAAATTAAGAAAATTCGACAATTAAAATATTAAAAAATAGAAAAATAATTTAAATGAATTAAAAATATTAATAATTAAATTAGATAAAATACACCATTACTTGTTTTTGTTTTGTGTAATGATAAATTCTTTTGAATTAATATTTCAGGACTCCTATGAGAATGTTGTTGCTGTTGTTCAGTTTGTCAAGGATGCATTACATATTTTTTTTCGCTTTTTCTAATATTCGAATATTCGTGAGCATGATGAAATAAGGAACCTACTTTAACCACTACTGATACACAATACACCGATATGAATGCAACGCTTACCGAGAAAACTCTGTCGATCAATTGAGAAGCGCCGTAAACTACCCAAATCGATATATTGCTCATCACACGTTAGTGTCGGTGTTATCGATAACTCTGTTGTATGAAAAGCCGTATTACTCTCACCACCACCACCACTACCACCTGTAGCAGTACCACCGCAACTCATACGATTGCTACCACCAACACCGCCGCCACTACCGCCACCTTTACTGCCACCAGTGATGAAGCAACCCAACGTATTGCCATAGAAACTGCCATCCAACTCGGCCATTTGCTGCTCGTTAGCTGTGAGTGGTTGTATGGAGCGCGAACTGTGATCGCGGTATAGTGGACGTGGCGATGGCACTAAATGCCGCAAAGTGCCGTTCAATGAGAGACGCGGCTGCATTATTTCTGGATAGCTGGCACGAGGCTTTTGCGATGGCTGGCGAGTGAGTGAGAAATAATTGCGTGTAGATAAATGCTGCGTATTAGTATTAGAGGCGGAGGCACCACTAATGTTTCCAATGCCAGTAAGACCACCACCAGCACTCTTGCCCACACTATTGACAACACCACCACCACCACCGGTATTATTGCTCATTCTCAAGCGTCTGAATGAGGCGGTTTTCGCTTTGAATATGACCTTTTTAGTTTTACTTTTAATTGTTTGAACTTTAGTCGAGCTTTTTTCACTTCCTGTTGCTCCACGGTTAGCCCTATCGGCTATTCCTGCTTTCCTTGTGCTTGATGTTGTTATTATTTCTGTCGTTTTATATGCATTCTTCCACTTGTTATCTGCCCTGTAACGTTGCCTTTTGACCCTCGTCGCTTGACCACTTGCTTCCGGCTCGTCCACATCTAAGATCCGTTGCTCGTCATTGTGACTATGAAAATAACCGGAAATTGGTGAAGTTGGTGGTAAGTCTATTATTGTTGTTATATACATACATTATAGTAGCATGGTTTTTTTTTATTTGTTGTCGTTGTTTTAATTGCAATGATGATGATTGTTGCGTATTAAAATATTTACGAATAGTTTTAGGAAGCGATCAATGGTTTTGTGGTGTAGAGCGGACGGAGGAACAAGACGAAGAGTAAGAAGAAAAAGCACAAGGTACAAGCAAAAGGGCGGTCAATTGGTGGTGGGACGAACGATTGTGGAAATGCAAATACAAAATACGAAGGGGTTACGAATACAGAGCATTTTCGTTGGCAATAGACGTGGATTTGATTCGATGAGGTGAAAGCAGGGAGTTTGATGGTTTGGTAGAGTGTGAGTGGCAATGCCAGTGAGAAGGACGAAAAAGAGAGAACGAAAACGAGAAAGCAATATGCCTTTGGTTAATAAATAATTCACACAATTGCTTGTGTAGACTTATAGGTTTACATGTGTGTATGTTTGCATATATGTATGTATAAAGGTAAGTTTCAATCATTATAACAAATGTTTTCAGCAAAACAAAAACAAAATCTAAAGGACGACAGGTGGATGACACAAGCATGTCTACATATTATATATAGAACAGCCAAAGGTCTTTAGTTGGCATCACTAAACAATCCTTTTAAATATTTAAATCATTTATATATGAATATGTAAGCGCATACACACATACATATAGACATATTCAAAGGTATATGTGGCTTAATCAACACAGCCACTGACTTAGTGATGGACCGTTTGTTGGTGGCTTTAAAATACATACACAAACACGCATGTTTTTCATATAACAAATAAATGAACAACAACAACAACTGGGACTTAAACGTTGTGTGGTATTGGTGGTGGATTTTTCTTGTTGGGACAATTACTCTGGTGTTTGCTTTAGTAGTTAAAATAATGGTGATGGTGTTGGTGGATCGACTAAGTATGTAGTAGTGATTTTGGGAAATATGGCGAGTGCACGCATACACATGCACACACTATTTTCTGAAAATTCAACTAACATTGAGCGCTTTTTTTCAATTTCATCAAAATTACGTCTGATACCTTAATAACTATTTATGTGTATTTACCATCTATTTTTTCTAAACTAAAAATTATTTTCTTAACCAAAACATGCCAAGAACAACAACAAGCAAAATGTGATATGTTTTAAATAAATAAATAAAAATCTAAAAATAATATTTAAAACTTATGGGGAATGCTAGTAATGGAGGGAGCAGCAGAGTTTTACATATAAGCATATTTATTTGTACATATATATTCCTACGAATATACAAACAATATAATTACAACACAACAGCCACACATTCATACGCTCATACGCACATACACATCAATATTTAATCCAAATAAAAGTAGGTTTAAGTAAATAAATCAAAACAGAAATATGTCACTATACGGCTAACGAATGAATGTCATTCATTTGTCATAAATATACATATTAAAAAAATAAAAAACCCAACTTTTTAAAATTACTAGTTTGAGTTGGAAAAATATTTGAGCAGACAGATATCAAACTTATAATTAATGTGTCAAAACATTGAGTTAATTTCTGTATCATTTTTTTAATTATTTTTATTTTATTTTTCATTATAATAATATATTTTATTATATATTGTTATATTTTATTTTTTTTATTTCATTTTATTCTAATTTTTTCTAGTTGGCTTATTTTATTTTAATTAATTTTAATTTAATTGATTTTATTTCATTTTATTTCCTTTGATTCATTCTAATCTGATTTATCTCATTTTTTTTTTTGTTAAATTTTATTTTATTTTATTTTATTTTATTTTATTTTATTTTATTTTATTTTATTTTATTTTATTTTTTTTATTTTATTTTATTTTATGTTATTTTATTTTGTATAATTTTTATATTCTAATATATTTTCTTTTATTTTATTTATTTATTTATTTTTATTTTTCTTTATTTTATTTTATATTATTTTTTTATTATATTTCACTTTGTTTTATTTTATTTTATTCTTCTTTATTTCAAATTACTTCATTTTATTTTATTTTGCTTTTTTATTTGTTATAATTTAATTTATTTAATTTTTTTTTTGTATTTATTTAGTGCATTTGATACGATTTTTTCAAATTTATTTTGCATTCTAGTTTATTTGGCTAACACAATCTTTCCTTCATTTTAAAATTTTGTGTTTAATTTTGCTTGGAAGCACAGTTTTTTATGGTCGACGTCAACTGTTACCACACCTACCCTGCTTATAAATAAACAATTTAGTAGACTAATGAAAAATGGCATAGGATAAAACGTCAAAAAGATGCATGTTCAATACCTTTATTTTCGCTTGAAAAAAAAACTAATGAAAAATAAAAAGAAGTAAAATGCAAAGGAATAACAACTTGTTTGCCTTAAAATACAGTAGCAATTGGCTAAGGTTGGCATTTTACCTGGGTAATTTGAAACTAATCTTAGCCCCAGGCAAAGTGTTCAGCCATTGATACATTTGTAAGCATCTGAATATATGAACTTCGCAAGGAGGGTGCTTTTATTTGTAATTTTTTTAACATTCCTCTTTATAAATCTCTATATTTTTTTCCTTTTTTGTGTGTTTTTTTTTTCGTTGGTCTTTCTATTTTCCTAATACGCCTTAATGCGTTCACCTGTAGGCTTATGCTCAACAGCTTGTTTTCGGCTTGACTGTCTATTACACCCCAGAGCTATTACTATTGCCGCTGTGAATGTGTATGCACATCTTTGTATTTCTGTGTACATATGTATTTTCTTGTACACATGCGATAATTTTCGCGATGCGATATTTACGCGATGCGCATAGTCGTGCGTTTTGAAATATACAAACATAGATATGTATGGGAGTGTGCCAATATCATTAAATATTTATTTAATTTTAACAGCCTTGGCAAAAAGTGGGCGCTTACAACATTAAATTGGGGTAACAGCTTTCTTAGCTTTACTCCATATATCCCCCAATTGCACGCATACTCACATACCTTCGCTTACGGGTACGTACATATGTACATCTGTTTGCTTGCTACTTATGTGCGGAGTGTACTTGTCTTACCTGTCGAAATAAAAATAATGATGGGGTGCTGTTGCACGAGACCTTAGCAAAATAGCTGAAAACTTATATTGCCTTAAGGCAGCTTTATTTTACGCAAATTGGTGAAATTTTGGAAATTCGCTAAATCGAGCAAAAAAAAATTGCAAGGCTTTCTTTGGTTCTCCAGATATTAGGAAAATAAGCTTCAAGAGAGGCTTTAAGATTTTTTGAATGCATTCAATTCACTTTATTGGCGAAAAAAATATCTTTGTAAAAATACTTGCAAAATCCATAAAAATCATTAAATAAAAAAAAAAAATTAAGTACGCGCAACAGAAACGCGGAATCATATCACGTAGTCTACGAAAACAAAGAAAAATAAAAGAAATTAATGACGAAAAAAATTTAAAAATAATTACTAAATATAATAATAATGATAAGACGACCTAAATTGACCTAAATAAAGATATCGTAAATAAAATAAGGGTAATATTAAATAAATTAAATAAATTAATAGCAAAAGGATAAAAAAAAATAAAAAAAATCCCACATGATTACATTAAAAAAATAAAATAATATAAAATATAATAAATGAACTAAAATAAAAAGAAATAAGAATTAAAAAAAAATACAACAAAATATAATAAAATAAAATAAAATAAAATAAAATAAAATAAAATAAAATAAAATAAAATAAAATAAAAAAAAATTAGTTAAAGATTTAAAATATAAATACAAAAATATAAATTATCATATGATATAATATGAATATAAAATATAGGCGTCCGAACTGGCTTACTCCGAAATATTCCAAGAACTGAGCGACTATTTTTCATACAAACAAACGGACAAAGGGACATGTCTTAATGAACTTAGATCGTAAATCATTCTGACACTATCGGCATACAATTTGATAGGTCTATATCTTCTGTTTATGGTGCCTACTTACGTCATAGTGAGTCAGTAAAAAATCAATAAACACGAAAGGTATAAAAACAAAATAAAACTTTTATGAAAATAAAATAAATTGAAACCAAATAAATTAGAATAAGCAAATGAAATAAAAAACAAAAGGTGAAAAAATTAAAGAAAATAAAAACTGTGCATATGATATTTTTATATACAAAAAAAAAAAAAATATAAAATTATATAAAATAAAAATAAAATTAATTGAAAGTAAAAAAAAAAAATTGAATTCAGCTGCCTTGGAAATTAAATTAAAAATATAATGGTTTCTTAACCACACCACATTTACATATGTATATTTATATGCTGAAGGATTCGGTGCTGACAGTCAATCACACTTGTCTGTGCTTATGCTACTTAAACCTTGTCTCGGTTATGTTCATTTAAAGAGCTATGTTTAACTAAGTGGATACTTAACTCATTATGGGCATACACACATGCATATAAATCATGGAAACGAATAAATAAATACACTCCACTTCATAATATAGTTGTGTACAAATAAAGCACAGGCAATTTATATGCATACGCACGCGTACATATACATATATGTGTGTGCTATGCTCCAAGGTATGTATGCTTAAATAAGTGTGATTTCATGTAATCCACTTAAATTATTCACTCACAATTAATAGTGATGCAGTATTTAATAGACTAACGCAGACATATATACGCATAAGTATCGGTTTATTTGTATTGAATTAATATTAAAATACATATATATGTATGCTTATTCCTCTATATGCTTGAATTTGTGCTTATTTAATTCATTTGCCACCTGTCTGGCGTTAACAAATAACACTTGAGTCTCCACGCGTTAAAAATCTAGTCAATTTTTTTTATTAAAATTGTAAAGGTTGCCATTGGATTTTAATTATCTAACTTAGAGAAAAATAATATTCTCGTTATATTATAGCGCTTTGTAACCGGCCGAGCTTCTCCTCCCATTCGTAGCTTTGCGTCTGGATGGTTTTTGCAACAAATGAA